ACCTGGGATGGGTTTAGGCTTTGGGGTCTAGGGTTTAGGTTTTAGGGTTTGTAGGGTTTAGGGTTTAGGGTTCAGAGTCTAGGGTTAGGGGTTTGTGAATGCTGGAAGACTTGCGGCAAGCGTAAGGCGGCTTCACGTTAGCTCCGCCCGGGGCTGCGTTCTGGCCCTGAAAGAGCAAAGTTTCCCTATTGAACTGTGAGACAACCTGAACGAAACACTAAACCCTAAACACTAACGCCAAAACTTGCGTCCCCCCATCAGTCTCGCCACTCCCGTTGACTTCCGCCAGACCCTCCTTATGAGGCGCATTTTGGAACTCGGGGGGTGGGGGGGGGTGGGGCCGGGAGGCCTCCACTAACGGACATCGATCATGAGCCGGGTTTCCCGAACCGCACGGTTTGGGGCTGAGGATTTAGGCTTGAGTGTTCCAGGGCTTAAAAAACCAATTTCAAGTGTCATGCCCCTCACAGCCACCCCTGCCCTGCAACGCTCACGGTAGCTAGGTTTCACATCGAGCTTCCCGCGGCACCCAATTCTATATCCCCCTTGGGAATTATGATTTTTTATATTTGTTTCTATAAAACCCAAAGAGGATATGACAAATGTCATTCTTATTAAGGTTCTAAGGGGAGTGTGGAATTCTTGCATCAGGAAGTGGTTTGGTGACAGCGACGAGTGGACCCGGGAGAAGGCAGGGTTCTCTCGAGTTGTCATCTTGTGTCTTGTTCCCGGTTGCAACATTCTAGAGCTGTAAAGCACGGTGAGAATTTTCGTTGATTTTCACTCAAGAAACAAGATTGTAGGAGGATTCAGAGGTTTTGAAGCACGCTCCTGCCTTTGCGCTCGAGAGAATGTCTCAGGGGCTGCAACGCATGAGGCAGACTGGCAATGCCCCGACTTCTTTCTTTCTTCCTTTCTTCATTTCTTTCTTTCCTTCCTTCCTTCCTTCTTTCTTTCTTTCTCTCTCACTCTCTCTCTCTGATTGTCTTATCAGGAAGTTTCCTTTCAACTTCCGCTTAAAGGCTTCATAAGGGTTTTGCGAGAGGAAAACATGCGTGTCATGTAGCTCTCGATCAATCGGAAACCACGAAGGACTCCCTAAAGACATGCAACGATTAGGAAAAAAGTCGACCTGAACCCTAAACACTAAACCCTAAACCCTCAACCCCTAAACCCTAAACCCCTAAACCCCTGAACCCCCTGAACCCCTAAACCCTAAACCCCCATAGCTCGAGGCCCTACCGCTACACTTCGACTTCGTAGTGTTGGACGTTTAGTTGAAGGGATGTTTCCCCCTTATACGAGCAGTCTTTACTAGGCACTATAGTAGCCGGTTTAGGGTTTAGGGTTTAGGGTTTAGGGTTTAGGGTTAGGGTTTAGGGCCCCCGATTAGAATCCCTATAGGACTGCTCGCATAAGGGCGAACTGATCAGGGGCTTTAGGGTGGTTTTGGGGCATCGGGTGGGTTCCCGACCGCATGCCCTACTTGGAGATTCATGGTACTTAGGAACCCACTCATACCTGTATCTATAACGCAATGAGAACCCTATTGAGGCACTTAAGGGGCTCAGAAGCGGCTGATAAGTACAGCTACGGCGGAAACCCGAAACCCTAAACCCCAAACCCTAAGCCCTAAACCCTAAACCCTAAAGCCCTAAACCCTAACTTATTGGGTTCATGAGTACCCTGAACCTCCCAGTAAGCCTGTCCTGCTGTTTGGTCAGGTTCTCCGTGTCCTGAACGGCATCCACCGCCTCCTTTCCAACGTCGCGGCTTGGTGGAGCCAGCATGCGCACGCGGTCAGAAAGCCCTCAACGCTAATTTTAGGCCTAGCGGCACGGGCCGGCCCCCGCCCCGCAAAACAGGAAACCTCGAAGTGGGCATCGTTTTGTTTTTGTTTTTCTGCTCCGTCTTTATTCCGCTGCCCTGTCTGTCACCCCCCCCCCTCTCTCCTCTCTCACCATCTCTCTCCTTCTGTCTATGTTGGTGTCTCCTTTTCTTTTTGTCCGTTTCCATGTCAATTCAATGTATTGCTCCCTTTCTCGTTTCTCGCTTTCTTTCTTGCTCCCACTCTTTCTCCCTTTCTCCCTTTGCCTCTTTCTCCCTGTGTCCCTCTTTCCCTCTCTCTCTCTCTCTGTCTCGCTCGCTCTCGCTCTCTCCCTCTCGCTCTCACTCTCTCTCTCTCTCTCTCTCTCTCTCACTCTCTCTCTCTCTCTCTCTCCCTCCCTCTCGCTCTTCCCCTTCCCCCCCCCCCCCCCCCCCCCCCCCCCCCCCCCCCCCCCCCCCCCCCCCCCCCCCCCCGCCCCGCGCGCGCGCGCACGCGCACCCGCATCAGGAGCATCATTGGGGTTGGTTTGGGAGCCCAAAAGACATTCTAAGCATGCGTTTTGCCTTCGAAAAACCTTCAGAAAACGCTGTAAACACGTGTTTTTGAGCTTGGGAAGCCTTTTGGAACCGAGGAAGAGAGAGCATCATGAGCATCAGCGGCCTCCCCCAGGCCATCCGAAACCTCCTGAAACACGCCGATTATATGTGCTTGAACGCTTGCGTGCCCACCAAACCCCCAAAAGCAAGACCCCGAATGCCCTTAAGCGCATTCGGGGTCCTGCTGTTCGGGTGTTTTGTAGGCACGAAGCCGTTCGAGCGCGTAAAATGAGCGATTTTAGGGGCGTTTTTACGTGGACCCACAAAACACTCGGTATTTACGAGGTTTTCTGCTGTTGGAACACCCCCCCAAACCGAGCATCATGAGCATCAGCTGGGTCTCTGGGCCGTCGGCCCCGGAGGCCCACGAAGCCCATGAGAAGCGATGGCTCGATGATGCGCCCGGACCCCCGCGCATCAGCAGCATCAGCAGACCCCCCCCCCGGACGTGGGTTTCGATGATGCGCACTTTGGGGGCGGGTCAAGGGCAACAGGGGTGGGGGTCGGAGGCACGCGTGAAAAACCTCATAAAAACACGGTATTTACGGTGATTTCAGCGTTTTTCAGCGTTTTTTATTGCCTTGGGGCCGCGGGCCAGGGCTGCTGATGCTCATGATGCTCGCCTGGTTTTGGGCTTCCGGTACCCCCCCAAACCTTGAAAAACGTGGTTTCGGCCTGGCGCGCGCCCCATGTGAAAAGCTAGGGCCGATGATGCGCGCCCGTGAGGGTTTAATGGGGTGCTGAGGGTGTTTTGTGGCCTCGGTTTTTCGTAAAAACCCATGGTTTTTTCGAGGTTTTCGTGCTTTTCGCACCACCGCGTGTTGCGTCCCCTTGGATGCCGTTTTGGAGGCCTCCCGAAGCGCCCCGCGCGAATTTGAAGCAATTTTGGGCGGGGTCGGCGGCTCGGGCGCTCGCCCCTTAAAGCTAGCGCTTTAGTGCGACGCGGGCTCCGCCCTGGACCACGGGCGGCGCGGGGGCCGGATTTAAGAGCCTCCGGCTCAAGCCGCCGACCCCGCTAAAGCATAGTTGAAAGGTTTAAACGCGCTCGTCAGCTCAAAGGATGCCAAAAGTTGATTTGCTTGAGCCTCTGTGAAACGTTGGGGGGGGAGGGGGGGTAGGGGGTAGCACCAGGACCCAAACAGGAGCTGAAGCCAGCTTGCAACCGGAGAGGGGTGGGGTAAGGGGGGGGGGTTTGGGGGGTGCTGCGTCGGTTGCGGAAAGAAAGGGGTTGAAGCCAAGCCCCCAGAGGGGGTGGGGGGGGTAGGGGGGAGGGGGGGGGGGGGCTGGGTGGGTTTTTTCTCAAAGGACCCCTATGTCCTGTGCGAAACCACCTATGGTCCGTGAGTTTATGCGGTGTGGGTGGCCTGGCCCATGGAAAAGCTGCCGGGTACCCCCCCCCCCGCGTTTTGGGGGGGTAAGGAGGGAAAGAGGGAGGATTCCACCTCCTTTGCCCAACACGCCGCCAGGGTCGGCGGATAAACCCTAAGCCCTGAACCCTAAACCGTAAACCCTGAACCCTAAACCCTAAACCCTAAATACCCCAAACCCTAACCCTAAACCCTAAACATGAACCCCTCGGACAGAACGTTCCGTGATTGTGAAGCTCAGCCCTACACCCTTCAGTGCAGTCGCCTCAGCCGGACAACCCGCCCGGCCCTTTTCCACTTTTCTGGTCCCCCTGAGGGTCTTGGTAGCCCAGCGGCACCCTTCACCCTAAACCCTAAACCCTAATAAAATGACCAACCCCAAACAAGGGTGCCCTTATTATGGTTGCTGGGATACCTTGAGGCTCATGGCACTTGTTAACAAATTATGACTGCACTGCTAACCCACTTATAAGCCCGTGAAGTGCCCTAAGATGGTTACAAGTGCAGTTTTAGTCTGGCTATAATTGGCTAGCAAGTGCCATGAACCTCCAACCTCCAAGTACCAGGGGGTAAAACCCTAAACCCTAAAGCCCAAACCCTTAACCCTAAGACCTAAAAACCCAAGCCAAGCCTCGCAACGCACCTCAAAAGCTAAGGACTTCACGTATCCCGGGCGCAGCTGCGCCTCCTGGCAAGAGCGGCTCTTGTTGGGTTTTGGGGGCGGTTTTGGGGGGCGGTTTCGCGCGCTCAAACCCTAAACCCTAAACCCTAAACCCTAACCCCTAACCCCTAACCCGTAACCCCTAACCCCTAACCCCTAACCCCTAACCCCTAACCCCTAACCCCTAACCCCTAACCCCTAACCCCTAACCCCTAACCCCTAAACCCTAAACCCTAAACCCTAAACCCTAAACCCCAAACCCTAAACTCTAAAACCCTACAATCCATGAAAGGGTAAAGCATCTCAGGAGCCCCAGCGCAATCCCCGCAACAGCCCCACAACAAGAAAGACGAGATAAGCAGCTACAGTAAAGGGCTTGGGTGGGGGGGAAAGTGGGTACAATGTGGCCACGCCTGGCCTTTTGCTGGCAGTTTGGGTGGGTTGCAGGTTTAAGTTGAAGCTTCGGTCAGGGCTTTCTGCCCAGCCCAGGATGCGAACGACTTCGCATACGTTTATGCGAAGCCGCCAGGGAATCGGAATCGTCGCGGCCGCTATGATCCTTGGATTGAAAGGGATGGGTGGATGGCCGCATGTTGCCACCATCCCACTTCTCGGCTCTATCTTCAGTCGTAGCTGAGAGAGTGCTAGCCATCGAGGCACAAGTTAGGACTGTTTGCAGAACACCCGAAACTACGCAGCAAGTCTTACTTTGGGAGGAATTGTCGGGCCATGTCCCGGATGCAGCACCACAAGGAGAGCGACATAGGAGGCTGCACCAAAAGCATCTCAACACCAAGCAGCGAGGAGGAGGAGGAGGAGGAGGAGGAGGAGGAGGAGGAGGAGGAGGAGGAGGAGGAGGAGGAGGAGGAAGAACCGGTTTTAGATGGATATCACAGCAGCCGCAGCATTCGAAACACACCCTACGTGTTCACGAAAGACAGGTTGCAGCAAGCAGATGGAGATGTTCGGACCACTTGCCCCAGTACTCAAATGGGTGTGCAGACCAGGGAGGGTGGGCCACGTGACGCCGTCAAGCGCTCAAAGCCCGACACGCCCGCTCGTACCACTTGGCAACTGTAGGATTGTTTGAAACTATGTCCCCCAGAACTATTTTGTATTTTTGTTTATGTAAAACCCAAGAGGATATTAAACATACTATTTTTATTGAGGTTCTAAGGGGAGTATAGTCACTCCCTGTGCGGTTCAAAACGGTTCCGGGCATCGAATTCACCAACCTGGAGGGCCCATTCTGGAACTTTCCGCACCGGCGCGGCATTTTTATCCAAAAACTTTTCGCCGCAGAACAAAGCCAGCATGTACAGTGCCAGGAGGCACTTTGGCAAGCGCGTTGCAGCTCCAGCATGTAGTGAAAGTTGACATAGGTTGACATAGATTTATAACTTCAAAACATCCGGCTGCCTGTGTTGGATCCTCGGGTTCAGCGCATCAAGAGCATCAAGAGCTCGCTGGTTTGGCGGTGCTGCTAGGTTTTTTGTAGGACACGACATTTTGCCTAGATTTGGCGACCTCCTTGTTGGCATGTTTCGGCCTAGAGTTGGCCGCACGGGGCTTTGACTACCTCCAGGGCAGACCATTTCGGAAGTGGAAGAGACATGTCGCCCCTACACCCTAAACACTAAACCTTAAGCCCTAAGCCCTAAGCCCAAGCCCTAAGCCCTAAGCCTTAAAACCCAAAACCCTGAACCCTAAACTTCTAAACCCTAAACCCTAAACTCTAAACCCTAAACCCTAAACCCCAAACCCTAAACCCTAAACCCAAAGCCCAAGCCTTCGTCTCCCCAAAGCCTCACATGCCAAGCCCTCAAGTCCCAAAGCCTCGAATGCCAAGGGTTTAGGGTTTAGGGTTTAGGGTTTAGGGGTTAGGGGTTTAGGATTTAGGGTTTAGGGTTTAGGGTTTAGGGCTCTTGGGCGGGCTGCAGGTTTTTCACCTCTGCGAGAAGTATATGACGTCGAGCACCTCCGCGAAGATCGAGACACTCACGCATGAGGCACTGCGCAAAAGCTGCTGAAGGACACGTGCTGTGAATTGGCAAAGGGAGCGAACAGACGTATATATGTATGTATATATATATATGTACAGATACACGCACACACACACACACACATATATATATATATATATATATATATATATATATGCTTTGAGCGGCCGTAGCCCGCCAAGCCCCGCAGCCCAAAACCCCAAAACCGCAAAACTCCAAGACATTCCAAAGAGCAAAGGCAGTAGCCCCATAAGGCCTCCACCGCCCCAAAAACCCGGACCCTGCAACCTACATCGCCTTAGGGCTTAGGGTTGAGGATTTTGGGCTTACAGAGGCTTTAGGGCTTTCATCCCGGCTTCCATCCCGTAAATCCCACAGCCCCAGAACCTACCACTCCAATTTTTCAGCTTTCCGAAAGGCCTAGAAATACAAACTGGAGAGGGTGGAGCTTCCCTTGCAGGCGTCGCACCATGAGACGATGTATACTGACGACATGTGCGCCGATGGCAGCCATCGGAAGGGCTGCAAGAAGGCTTATGGACGGAGAAAGTGTGAGATACTTGGCTGATTGTTGAGGGATCTTCGTTTCTGAGAGGTCATCTCGAAGGCATGCCACATGTGCGTGCACCAGAAGTTGTCCGTGTCTGAGCACCCTGCAGACCCGAATCTGCCGCTGGATGTTGAGAGTTCAAGGGCGTTGAGCTAGCCGAGGCTTCGTAGCACCCAAGATGGGATGCCGTCGGGGGTCCTTTGGGGGTCTTCTGTCGGGGTCTGAGGACCCGCGGTCGACTGCTAGTGCTGCTTCCCTGAAGAAGATGCCGCTCAAAAACTCCAAAGACTGGATCATCTGGCGAGAGGTTTAGCTTACCGTAGACTCCAGAAAGTTGGAACATGGCTTAAGGGTGATTAGAGCTGCGATTCCCTTGAATCTACCTTTTGGGGCATGGGGATAAGGATGCTCCGACTTCTTTGCGTTTACTGTAGGGTTTGGGGTGGATTGTCTGAAGATTCTCGGACACCAACTCCGCTTGGTAAGAGGGTGTCGCATGGGTTTGGATGGGACCTCCTCCAAGGGAATTGGCCCACGACGACCCGGACGAGGCGCAAACCAACGCAGACAACTACTGCTTCTTCATCAACGACATGGCTGCCATGAGCTCAGCGCAGCTTTTTCGAGGTGCACCCAGTTGAAGTATACTTTCCCGAAGCAAGCCGAAGCCAAGCACGCAAGTCCAACGCAAAGCAAGGTGTGCTCACCCCCCGAATCCAGCCCCCCAAGCCCGTAGCCCATAAAGCAGCCCAAGCAAATCAGGCCGACCCACCCCTCTCAGCTAGCCAGGAGCATGAGGGTTTAGGGTGCAGGGTCTAGGGTCTAGGGTTTAGGATTTAGGGTTTAGGGTGCAGGGCTTAGCTTAGGGTTAGGAGTACACAAGGAAGCCGCCACTGCACTTGCATCTGCAACCCAGGCTCGGGCGAGCCCCTCACCCCCGGCCCCGGACCCTCCCACAAGCTTCCACCCGCCCTCAATTCGGGGTTTAGGGTTCAGGGTTCAGGGTTTGGGGTTTAAGGGTTTAGGGTTTAGGGTTAGGGTTTAGGGTTTAGGGTTCAGGGTTCAGGGTTTAAGGGTTTAGGGTTTAGGGTTCAGGGTTTAGGGTCTAGGGTTTAAGGGTTTAGGGTTTGCGAGAATGAGGGACCCCTAAGAGGGACCCCAAATGGATCCCGCTCGAATAGGGACCCCCACTAAGGTACCCCCCCCCCCCCCAAAATTCCGGTCTAAAATCCTTCAAGAAGCGGAAGCCAGCATTTAGGGTTTAGGGTTTGGGGTTTAGGCTCTTGCCCTAGCACCCAAACCTTCTTCTGATGAGGGCAGGGTTGGGATTCAGGGATTCGGGGATCCATTGAGATGCTCCGTAGGGCTTGGAGGCTTGCCCAGAGCGCTGGTGCGGTTGTCAGGTTCCCTAAACCCTAAACCCTAAACCCTAAACCCTAAACCCTAAACCCTAAACCCTAAACCCTAAACCCTAAACCCTAAACCCTAAACCCTAAACCCTAAACCCTAAACCCTAAACCCTAAACCCTAAACCCTAAACCCTAAACCCTAAACCCTAAACCCTAAACCCTAAACCCTAAACCCTAAACCCTAAACCCTAAACCCTAAACCCTAAACCCTAAACCTAAACCCCAAACCCCAAACCCCAAACCCCAAACCCCAATCCCCAAACCCCAAACCCTAAACCCTACACCCTACACCCTAAACCCTAAACCCAAAACCCTACTAAGGGAGCTGATCGACACCGGCACTGAGGGGGGAGGGGGGGGGGGAGGGGTGGGCGCGACTCTGCGGTTGCAGGGCTTACTTGAAGAGAGTCCCTCAAAGCTTTCAGCACAGCGATGTGACAGCCTGGCGCCTTCACTGACATGTTCTCTTCTTTTCGGGATCTTGGAGCTGGCTTTTTTGTAGCTATTGCGTTGCATGCCTTCTGGGCATATTGCTCTTATCCACGAATTGCCGACGAGTTGTGTCCATGAACCGTCAAGTGGCATTTAGGGATAGTTGTGTTTTTGGGGTCCTGGTCGGCCCTTAGTCAGTCTCCTTTGCCAGGCAAGCTCAGCAAGTGCTCTTGAACCCTTCAACCCTAAACCCTCAACCCTAAACCCTCACTGGATACGAACAGCTCGAGACCCACCCCAAAAGCCTGAAATCTCTCGCTCCTGCCTTATCACGATATCCAAAAGTCCCGAGCGTTTAGGGTTTCGGCCCCAGACTCAAGCCTTCGCCATTAACAGCCCCTCAAAGAGGGCTCCACAGAATGCCATGCACCAGCGACTAGCGGACCAGTGCTACAGGGCCTCTCCCCTGATGCTATCATATGTCCCAACACGGCCCTCTCCCCTACTGTTCTCGTATGCCCCCCCTAAGATGCTAAGATGTAGAGTTTAGGGTTCAGGTACATCGTGCTCCCCTCCTCTGCCGAAAGATCCCAAGGGCCCATGAGGCGAAGCCAGCACTGCAGGGGTGTCTTTGCGCACGAGGCCAGAGGTGCCAAAAAGGTGCGAGGGGGGGGGGGGGGGGATGCCATTTCCTCAGCCCCCTTACCCTTTCACCCCTAAGCCCTAAACCCTAAACCCTAAACCCCAAACCCCAAACCCCAAACCCCAAACCCTAAACCCTAAACCCTTTTCAAAACTCTAGGCTGCCTACACAAATTGCCCATCATGCCCAGTTGCGCCAAGGAGCCGGAGCTCCAGGGGCATTGCCTGGCTGCAAATCTTCCTGGCCTGCACCTCTTCACCTTGTGCCCTGGTGCCGGGTTTAGGGGTTTAGGGTTTAGGGTTTAGGGTTTAGGGTTTAGGGTTTAGGGTTTAGGGTTTAGCGTTTAGGGCCGTAATCCAGGAAGTCTGGCATGTTTTAGGGGTTTCTGATTTGGAGAAGGTGCAGTAGCCTTTGCATCTCTAAGCCGTCTGGGCACCTGCCCGAAAGGGAACTTGAGAGAAGCTCTCGAGATGTTTTTGGACCATTCGCAGGCATCTTCGGGGGCTTTCAGGGCGCCCAAACCCTAAAACCCTAAAGACCTAAACCCCAAACCCTAAACCCTAAACCCTAAACCCTAAACCCTAAGCCTTAAACCCTAAACCCTAAACCCTGCCTCTGCTTGCAAAGATCCAAGGCAAGAGAAGTGCGACCGCAGCTTGAAGGCGGATCTTCGGGCCTTGCCTCTACCTGCCTACGATATTGTAGGGTTTAGGGTTTAGGGTTTAGGGTTTAGGGTTTAGGGTTTAGGGTTTAGGGTTTAGGGTTTAGGGAATAGTTGCTTAAGGCCCCCCCCAAAAAACAAAACAAGGAAGACATTCTGCTTTAAAAGGGGTTAAGAGTAACATAGAGAGTATGACCTTTCATTCTCTGGGGGTTCTTAGTCTCTTTCTAGTTGCTTAACCCAAAAGGGTAGTATGGCGATTTCTCTAAATATGGTCCTTCTTGGGGTCCTCATTATAAGGCGGCCCCTCTTATTTAGGGTACCCAGACAGGGGCCGTAATTTAGAGAACTGAACATATGGGGATGATTACCTTTTTAGTCTTTAGGGGTTCTTAAGGTAATTAGTAGGGGTTCTTAAGGTAACCCTAAACCCTAAACCCTAAACCCTAAACCCTAAACTCTTAACCCCTAAACCCTAGACCGCAGGAGGTCGTGTCGCTGAGTCCCGTACCTGCGCCCTCCAAGCGCTTCAAGCGGTGCGTTCCGCGTGGAGCACGAAAACGTTGCTTAAGACACTCACCCAAAAAATATGTAGATACTCTTCCTTAGAAGGGTGATACAGGGGATATTATGTCTTTATTTGGGTAAAACAGGGTTTCCAGAGCTTCTTTCTGGGGCTTGTTGTTGGGGCTGGTGGCGCCCTAAACCCTAAACCCTAAACCCTAAACCCTAAACCCTAAACCCCTAAACCCTAAACCCTAAACCCTAAACCCTAAACCTTAAGCCCCAGCATGGCAGTCGGCAGGACTTCCTGGGCAGCCACTCTGCATCAGAGCCACAGGCAGGGTGGCAGGGTGTGGGTTGAAGCTTCCCTGCTTCGAAATTTAGGGTTTAGGGTTTAGGGTTTAGGGTTCAGGGTTCAGGGTTTAGGGTTTAGGGTTTAGGGTTTAGGGTTTAGGGTGCTGAGTTTTGTTTTTTCAGGATGTGTTCGCAGTGTCTTGCAAGTTGTGCAGCCCATGAAGCAGAGACTCCCCAAGCTCGGCCGTAGAACCCGAACCTCCGACCCTACCCATCCTTCCCATCCCTACCCTCGAGATCCCTTTAGACGTGCTGGTTTAGGGTTTAGGGTTTAGGGTTTAGGGTTTCCGAGCTGCTGGGCCACGGGGCCACCTAGGGTTCAAGGTTTAGGGTCTAGGGCGGAGCTTTGGAGCTTCGGGGGTGATGGCTTTGGGACAGAGAAGACGTGTGCATCGGCTGAAAAGGGGCGTGTCTCACAATATTAGAGCTGCCCCTCCGTGGGATGTAGTCTTTGGAGCGTTTTTTGGAGTATCTTAAGCCCGTCTTAAACCTTCAGAGACGATGATTTTATGGCGGGCCCTAGCCGAAAGAGCTTGAATCAAGGGCCTGGGCATAAGGGCCTAAGGTCAACACCCTTTTTTGGCACATCCTGAACATAGACGTAGACCGTTCTTAGAGGAGGCAGGATTTAGCTCGGTCTCAGCCGTTGATGGAACCCTGTTACAAATCATACCTTTCTGTGGTCCTTGGGCCCTTGTTCCTTTTTCCAGGGTTTAGGTTCCCTAACCCAAAAGTGCAACTCTTGGGTCTGTCGTTGTTCTCAAGCCGCGCCGCGCTCCCGCAGATTGCCTTCATCGTGTCCAGCATCATGCAGGGGCTGGCGCACATCCACCAGCAACATGTTCCTGGGCTTCATCGTGATAAGCCCAACCTTAGGGTTTAGGGTTTAGGGTTTAGGGTTTAGGGTTTAGGGTTTAGGGTTTAGGGTTTAGGGTTTAGGGTTTAGGGAATCCTGAACCTCAAGCCCGGACCTTGTTTGGGGTTAACCGCTCAGGGCCTAGGGCCTCTGAATGCTTCTGTTTCTTTTTTTTCGGGCTCTGGGAAACCCTAAACCCTAAACCCTAAACCCTAAACCCTAAACCCTAAACCCTAAACCCTAAACCCTAAACCCTAAACCCTAACACCTAAACCCTAAACCCTAAACCCTAAACCCTAAACCCTAAACCCTAAACCCTAAACCCTAAACCCTAAACCCTAAACCCTAAACCCTAAACCCTAAACCCTAAACCCTAAGCCCTAAACCCCCAGGTCTTCCATCGAGACATCACGGATGGCGGCCCGGCATGACTTACTGTCCCCCACCCTGAACCCATGTGGCGAGTTTGCTAAGTTGTGGGAACGTGTGCCCTTAATAATGAAAATAGAATAATAATAATAATAATAATAAAATAATAAAATAATAGAATAATAAAATAATAAAATAATAAAATAATAAAATAATAAAATAATAAAATAATAAAATAATAAAATAATAAAATAACAAAATAATAAA